AAATATTTCGTAGCCAGCACCAAAGACATAGTTTGAAATGCCCCTTCAGCCATGTTTCGGTCAAAACTAAAATGTCGTAGCAGTGATCCAAGACGGCCAGATGATAATCTTCCACGAGGCCGTTCATACCGCCAACGTTCTGATAGTAAATCGTTATGTCCGACCTCCGCTGTTCGGGAACAATGGAAGGTAATATATTTGTCGGTTGATCATACTTGCCAATAACAGGAATGTGGAAGACCCCTTCTCCCATCTCAAACGCAGGGCCGGGACGACTGCTGGTCGCTGGCAGGAGGGGCTTGACTGCGATGAGCGGAATAGGGGCTTCCTCAGAGCGGACGGCAAGAATGCGTCCCGGAGTGCAGTTGACTGTGGTGGCTCCATGTTGCCGACTGGCAGATGTTTGAGGTGAGTTGAAGGCACTGGAATTATGATCATCATCAGGCAGTGAAAGTCCGCTAGTAAGTGTGTACTTGCCTAATATAGCAAGCTGGGAGACCCTCAATTCACATCTAAACTCAGGGCGAGGACGACTTGCATGAACGCTGGCTGCAATAGGCGCGACTGATTTAGAAGAACTGAGGACTCCCAAAATGCTTTCTACGTTGCATCCCAGTAGAAATGTTATTTGGCTCAATAGATTTTCAGAGGGCATCACCGAAAATTCGCTTTGGACCGGGGTCAGAATAACCTGAGTATGGGAGAACTCATCACGCAACGATAAACTTAAATCACAGAGGTACTTGCCTATGCAAGCATGGTGGAAGACCCTTTTTCCACCACCAACTACAGGGCTGAGACGACTATGTTGAACGAAGGCGGCGGTAGGCGGGACTGTGTTGGGGCGATCGGGGGATTCCATTAGACTTTCTACGGTGCGTCTCCGGGGCATTGTTGATTCGTCAGAAGAGATTAAGGGGTGACTGTTATACTGGGTGTACCTAAAGGGGCTGGCATATCGAGAGGTGCTGGTGTCCCAAACGGTGTGCCCGTTGGAGAGCCACCCGGAATAGTCTCTGGAACAGCAGGGAGTGCTGGGATATCAGGAGGTAGCCACACATTGTTTTTCGCCTGAGTATCCTCAAATTCTCTGTACACAATCCCCTGTGGCCAAGTTTCAGGGTTCAAAGCGTTCTCTTTTAGTTACATTTACTGAAAAACAACAAACGATATTTTTTACCGAGAAATTCAGCTAAAATAAACGATTGCTGGACACCCAGTTAAGAGCTGTCAAACTGATAGCATCACAGTTGCAAGTATTTTGCATTCGTACAAATCCGTCCACACCGCAGGAGGTAAAAAAAACTACAAATTATGTAGGTAAAGACACTGGCTCGGACACTGATTATATTTAATAAATTATACATGGAAAAGAACCTGACAATTTTGTCTTGGTATGGTACTGGATAACTTCATTGACATCTATACCCAAGGAACAATGCAAGTTTAATGTAAGTTTTAAAGCATTCTACAAGTCTAAATAATGGTCTTAAAGAACCCACATAAAACCCAAATTGTTACTTGGGTATCGAGAACCATGTCACCATTTCCAAGAGAGTTCGTGGGGCAATACCAGGCGGGATTCATGAGTGCCCGTGCTACCACGGACCAAATTTTCGCGATTCGGGAGGTTCTGCAGAAATGCCACGAATACAACGTGCCCACACATCATTTGTTCATCGATTTCAAATCCGCATACGACACAATCGATCGAGATCAGCTATGGCAGATTATGCACGAGTACGGATTTCCGGACAAACTGACGCGATTGGTCAAGGCGACGATGGATCGAGTGATGTGCGTTGTTCAAGTATCGGGGACACTCTCGAGTCCCTTTGAATCTCAAAGGGGGTTACGGCAAGGTGATGGACTTTCGTGTATGCTGTTCAACATCGCGTTAGAAGGTGTGATCAGAAGTGCTGATATAGACACGAGTGGCACGATATTCAGGAAGTCCATCCAGCTCCTTGGCTTCGCCGATGACATTTACATTATGGCACGGAACTTTGAGATGATGGCGGAAACGTACATCAGACTGAAGGCTGAAGCTAGGCGGATTGGACTTGCCATCAACGCATCGAAGACAAAATACATGGAAGAAGAGGTTCTAGGGAAGACAATGTTAGCCTCCCACCCCGAGTATAGATTGACGGTGACGAAATCGAGGTGGTCGATAAGTTCGTTTATTTGGGCTCACTGGTGACCGCCAGCAGAGAAATTCAAAGACGCATTATGGCAGGGAATCGTGCCTACTTTGGACTCCGGAGGACGCTCCGGTCGAATAAATTTCGCCGCCGCACGAAGTTGACTGTCTACAAGACGCTGATTAGACCGGTGGTCCTCTACGGCCACGAGACCTGGACTATGCTCGTGGAGGACCAACGCGCCCTTGGTGTTTTCGAACGGAAGGTGTTGCGTACCATCTACGGTGGAGTGCAGATGGATGACGGAACGTGGAGGAGGCGAATGAACCACGAATTGCACCAGCTGCTGGGAGAACCATCCATCGTTCACATTGCAAAAATTGGGCGACTACGGTGGGCTGGGCACGTCGTAAGAATGCCGCACGACGACCCAGTGAAAATGGTTCTAGAAAGCGACCCAACAGGAACAAGAAGAAGAGGCGCGCAGCGGGCAAGGTGGATCGACCAAGTAGAAGGTAACCTGCGGACCCTTCGCAGACTACGAGGCTGGCGAACTGTGGCCATTAGAGTGATGCAAAATTTGAAATTTTCACTCCACAATACTTAAGCGATTCCAAATCGGATCCTGACTAACCTCTCAAAATGGCACAAATCATTTGAAGTTTGTATGGGAATTACTATAGTAAAACCAAGATTTTTGTTCATGTCTATCTAATAACTCATCATATAGGTCTGCTTCAAAAACTTTCAATTGTACTTGTAGGAAATTTTCCCAGCTACAACTTTGCTGAAGACCACTTTTTGATTAAATGCAAGGATCGAATGTTATCAATGGTTCAATGCGCTGATTTCTTATGACCATGCTCAATCAACTGCTCAGCAGGCAACATTGGTGTTTCTGGGGCGTTGAATAGGGCAAAAAAATCATGGCTACTATGCCACACTGCAAAATACAGTGTTGCCTACAGAGCAGCTGCTTGATCATGCCATAAGTTTACCAATCTCTTAAATAATTAATAACTTTTTCCTGTCTAGTTTTACATAGAAACGATCTTCAGCAAAGTTCTATAAGAACGGCTATCGAACTGTTTCGCAGCTCAATATGGAAAAAGAGTAGAAGGCAATGAACATAAAGTTGAGATTTTCCATAGTAATTTACATGTAAACTTCAAATGGCTTGTGCGAAGTCTATTTCTTACCAAATGAGTTGTAACTTTGGGAGGCTAATCAGGACCCGATTTGAAACCATTTAAGCACTGAAAGCGAAAAAGTCAAAATTTGCATCAGTCTAGTGGCCATGGATCGAGTAGAGTGGAGACGACTTCTTCGACAGCAGAGGACAACAAGGCCTTAGCCTGATTGGTAAGGTAAGTGTCCATATGTCCGTCACCGACAAACCGACATGAATGACCGTACAAAGTACAATCAAATTTCTGATCAAAGCACAACCCAACAAACAATTTGAGCTAAATAATGGCTGAATAAGCCATTTTTTAGCTGAAGAATCATATTTTGGTCTGAATAAGCACTTATTCTGTATGCAATGTTTGTTGGGAAACCTAACATCTGAGGCCGTGTTCACGAAAAATGTTTATCCTAGTAACGAACACGCATGCAAAATGTATGAGTTGGTTCGTGTCTAATCTATTCTGGTCTGATTATTTTAATCTAGATAAAACAATTTATATGGTTTTGACAGATGGGATCGCTGCACATTTGAATTCGCCGTTATGAATTCTCGATCAATAGTAAAGTTTAAGTTTCATGTCGGTTTGTCGGTGTGTCCGTATCGTATACATGTAATACGTTTACCATATATCTAATGATTATATTAGGAGTCATGCATAAATTATGTCACGCTGTAGAGGGAGGGGGTGCAAGATTTTGTGACAAGCTATGGATTAGGTAAAGGAAAATGGTAAAAGAGAGGGGCGGTCAATTTTTCCTCAATTTCGAGTGATATAATTTATGCATCGCCTTTACACATAATGCGCAGTCTAAAATGCGTTTGCTCATACCTTAATGAAAATTCAATTAGCATAAAATCTGTCATACAGTTGCTTTTTAGTTGAACCATGCAGGCATAACATTTGATAACGGCACAAAAGTATTTGTAAACAAACTTTCTAAGGCCCTTTACACGTGAACCAAAGTGCGCCCACGCAAACCAATAACATCCTCGGATAGGGGCAACTATCACCTTTCCGAAAGTGGTATTGGTTTGCGTGGGCCTACTTTGGTTCGCGCGTAAAGGGCCTTAGAAAGTTTGTTTACAAATGCTTTTGTGCCGTTGTCAAATGTTATGCCTGCATGGTCCAACTAGCGAGCATACAACTATCGAGCTACCAACGAGAGAATCTCCGTGCACACTAAGATTTTGGTTCCGCGTTCGGTAAATTTTACCGAAATCAGAATAAACTTTGACCTTCATTTTAAAGGCTATTGAATTTGAAAATAATTTTTAAAACATGTTCAACCTTGTTTAAATGATCAAATCTAGTTATTTTAGTGGAGATTTAGTTTCAAAGTAGCTGAAAAGCATTTGAACTGAATTGCATAAATTTTACCGAACAGTTCAGCTGTTCAGATTTCGGTAAAAATTACCGAAGTCGGTGATAATTTCTAAGTGTGTGCGCTGTATTTATATTCTTTAGGCTACTGCTACGTAATTTTTCAACTGACCCCAGCCTCAAGCAGTGCTATGAACATACCCTGTCTACCTATACTTCCAATGTCGTTGAACATGTTTACCTCTGCTTCGCCAAACATAACTCTACACAGCAGGCCAGCGGTGTAGAGCCCATACAGAGCCGCAGATTTAAATTTTCTCCACACAAAGTCTTGTCAGCTGGCTGTCATCTAGCAGCGCATTTTTCTGTTCGTTTAATTTTGTACTTTTCAAAAAGACGAGACTGATAAATATTTAGTTTAAATTTTATTGTATATTAGTTTCAAACCCATTCGATTTTTATTGACCAAGTACTCACTAATTGTAACATGCTGTATTGGTAAGTTTTTATAACAATATTAACTAGTAGAAGAAACAACGAAATCCATATAAACTGGTGTGAGATGTTATGGGCTGTATACCCACTACAATTCTCCTTTTCAATCTTTTATTTTCAGTGATAATTGAATAGCAAAGTGCCTTTTGTGTGTCTTTTTTGATTCTACCTGGTAGTTTTCCGTTTCATCAGTCATAAAATGGTACGCACAAAGTCGACCCGCCATGGGAATTCCAAACGCAATCGCACCAGCTTTCAGGAAGAAAAAGTCAACGCTAAATTAAGAGATTACGATGTTTTAGGTGGGTAAAATAAGGTTTATTAATCCCAAAAGTTGTTAGGAATAATATTTTGTTTTACATTTCAGCCGACAGCCTGCTGGCCAACTTGGAAAGCGTAATGACCGATAAAATCGAAGAGCTAACGCTGATGTTCAAGACTGAAAAGAATCGAGTGCCCAAACGGGTCCTGCAGATGCGAATGGGCGATCTTCGACTGTTGGGAGTCAGTACTTTTGATGATCTGGATAAAATGAATAATGAACCATGTGATGGAATGAGTTCGATGGGCTCCAGCCAGCTGTCATCGCATAGCTTCGGTGCTGCATCAAGAGGCGAGAAGAAGCAATCACGAGCTGATGAGGGTAAGATACAGGAACGAGTTGTTTCGAAATAATCATTGAAAATCGCATTTTCCGGCTGGTGATTCACACATTTTTAGTTATTCATCATTTGGTACATCATGAGAAAATTAACATCCTACATATCTCATTCATCTGGGGATAATCATTGACTAACTTTATTTTCGCATCTTTCGCTCTTTTCCCGTGTTTTTCATAACCTAAAGGATATCTTACAGAGGACAGTGCATCTAGTAACATGAACTCGGACCTGCAGTATTCGACTAAAGCTCGCCCTTACGGCCCTCTTGCATCGGCCATGCAAAATAGACGGCGCAGTAAATCCGCTTCGTCCAACGGCACTCCGCTAAAACAACACTCGTCGCTGTTGTTCGGTATAAAGTCGAAGAAAACGTTTGGTGGCAGCCAATCGGTCTGTACGGAAAGCAACCGCCTATCGCGAACCAAATTTCGAACCCCTGGACAATGTAGACCGCAAACCGTTAGTGCAGACCGTGGCTTGAGCATGATTACACCCAAAGTACATCCCAACACACCAATGGCCATGCTGCGTCATGCTCGCTTAGGAGAATCTATCTACTCCATTACTGGCAGTCCGGTTATCAGTGCAATAATGGTAGAAGAAACGGCAAATGTTAATATTCCGATTGTCAACGGCATGCTATCGATTCGGCCGACCGCGATGGAGTCTATTGATACGGGATTGTTGCAGAGAATAGATTCGAATACATTGGATCACCTGAAAAAGTTACAGTTGAACCTGAACAAGATCATGCAGATTGCCGAAGGGAATAATTTTCAAAAATATTAGCTGTAATTTTACGTGTATTTCTTTTTTCTTATGTTAGTATTCTGCATTTATGTTAGGGTAACTGCACCAGTTTGGGATATTATAAATATGAGATGCATTTTATTTTGCCATCTGCTGCCGAAATAGAAGATAGTCTAAAATTAAAACAGTTCAACTATTCGGTGTCACTAGACGCAAATCATTGTGATGTTCTGAATTTGCATTTCTTGGAGAGATACGCCAATGAATATAAGCTTGCTATGTGTTAGTTCCTTTTAATTGAATAAAAATGTTTCTAATTGTAACGTATTCTGTTCTTCCATGTTGAAATTACATTGCACTGGTACATACCAAACAAATAATTTTAGCTGCAGACTAGCTTATACAGCCAAAAATTATCCTAACTAGCTAATTTTTGCATGTATAAGCTGATATGCAGCTAAAGTTGTTTGTTAGGTATTAATTCTTGTGTACGTTCGAAACATATCTTCGATAGAAAAAAACCAAACATGAAGCGAATTCTAAAACTCCCTTAGTAATTCGCAAAAATCTTCAAACAAACAACAAACCTTTTGAGCTACTTATATACCATTACCTATATTAAAAGAGATTTTTTTTCATTATGAAATCTCCTAATGCACATATTCTCAAATTTGGTTTAAAATGATCTTGCACTCAAATTTACGCATAAGTTTCCGTCGTGTATTAGGGTAACTTTTTATAAAAAAAAAAGTAGAAGGGTCTGTGCCTAGGGGCACGAACGAAAGTTTGACGTAGGACCGCTAGTGGACGGAATAAATGTGAAGAGCATTTAGTTCTTTTAATTGATCAATTATCTATTATCTCAACTCTTTCCGTTATTGAATTGTAAGCGTACCAAATTTGTAGTAAATTTTTTCAAAGAGAAAGTTGATTAAGAGAATCAATCAAAATCACTTGCACCCCTGCTTCCAAGTTTGGTTACAAGATTACAACTCTGGAGAGCATTTTGTGTGGTTATTGGGGCTTGTGGTTCTGAATATGGACAAACAAGCACAGATAAATTCTATTCCAACTATTTACTGATGTAAGCTTGATGGCCCTGAAAAGGGCCGTTTTATTGAAGAGGACATCCATGGCCGCTTACGCTTGGCGTGTTTAGTGTAGGTGACAGCATCACGGACCTCATTTTCCAGGAACACCTTCAGCATGCCTCGTAAATCAGACTGGAGATACGTTAGACACCACCACGGCGAGCCAGACGACGGATGGTGGTTATCTCGAAGAATTTGCGTTTGGTTCTGAATATGGCGATGAGTGTGCAAAATATTACGCAATTCCATCCTCCCTATTCGCACGCGCCCGAGGATCGGAGGCGAATGCCACTTCGACTTGTTTCGTCTACTTAGTACTCTCTGACGACTGTGCTGGGGAAGCAACATATGCATGTAGGTGGATTTGTTAGTTAATTCGACGCTTTTAGACAATGCTGGACATTTACCAGTTTTTCAATAGTTTCTTGTAGAAAATCAACAGTCGGAAGCATTATTATCGATGCGTAGCCATATTTCTGATCGATTGGTGATAAAATTATTGAAATTGGACCAGGGGCAGCTGAGTTATTAACGTTCAAAATCTTTCTTAATTTGTTACATGTTCCATTTTGTGTTTTTACAAAGTGTACCCCCATATAGAAATCAAAGACGTAGTCCTACGTCAAAATGGGTTTTTTAGGCATATGGATATATATGTAATATAGGGTGTCCCAGAATGTCTAAGCACGGCTTTGGAAATCCCCGTTTTTTTCAGATGACGTTAAAACAGCTGTTTATCACGCTGAATCATTGTTTGCATTTACCGAAAAATTCGGTAAAAAGACTTTGGTTTGGCAAGCCTTTTTACCCCTGGGAATGTCTTTACATGGCTGTCTAATCGATTCACCCCTCCAAGCTAATCGATTCACCCCTCGAAACATAGGAAAATCCACTAACCCCTAATTTTATCTGTCAAACTTTCATAGCGAATCAAAACAAACATAGTGTACTGGAATTTATACGAGAATGGGGTACGTTAGTCGATTTGCTTGGAACCAATAGGCTAGTCAAGTAGTGAGCCAATTTAAAATCGTTAGTTTCGTATTGATTGTTGGTTAAACTTTGGCTATTCCTTGATGGCACTCAATTGCAGAGAGAAAACCAGGTTAAAGATTTAGGAGTGATTTTTGACGAAAAACTCACGTTCAAGCCACATTTGTCGTACGTAGTCACAAAAGCCTCAGGAAACCTTGGCTTCATTTTTCTGGTAGCAAAAGAGTTCCAAGATGTATATTGCCTGAAATCATTCTATTTTTCCCTGGTACGAACGACATTGGAATATGCTTCTCCAGTATGAACCCCTCATTTCCAAAATGGTGTTGAACGAATCGAGTCGGTACAGCGGCGTTTTATCAGATACGCTCTCCGAAGATTACCTTGGAGGGATCCCTTTAATCCTTTAATCTACCGAGCTACGAGAGCCGTTGCCTCATGATTCAACTGGATACCCTCCAAACACGACGTGAAGTGGCTAATGCACTTGTCATCGCTGATATTCTAACCGACCGTATGGATTGTCCTGCCCTGCTCGGCAACATTAATGTTCAAGCTCGCTCCCGTGTGCTTCGAGGCAACTCTCTTCTCAGGATCCCACACAGGAGAACCAACTATGCGGCGAATTCCGGACTAATCGCCCTCCAACGGACGTTCAACCGAGTCTCCTCAGTTTTTTGATTTTGACATGTCACGCGACTCTCTTAGAAGACAATTTTTGTTAGCTTTAAGATAACTTTGTATAATTTGGACACCAAACTAGTCTGTGTATAATATACAATAAAATAAATCAATAAAGGATGAAGAGAACATAGGTAAGTATTATGGTGTGTTCCAATTATGGCAGATGGGAACCCCATAGGCCATAATTGAAACACACCACAATAAGTGGTGTGATGTGATATAAGGGGCTATATTAGCCTAACATTCTTGTCGCGTCATCTCTAGCCGCGGCCTCTGCAGAGTTAATAAAACCATGGTTCAAAGCAAAATATAAATAAAGATTCTACCATTGGGGCTTGATAGAGTGAATAAATGTAGGATATAGATTATATATTTATTCTATTTTAAATTGGTTTTACTATTGTAATTGTTCAGTGCATAAACCGTGCCTTCCGCTAAGTCAGCGTATCTAGCGACCGACCCCCTAGTCTATCTATATACCTACTGTCCTTCCCGTTGCACTCGTCAGCCTGTGCTATACTCTAGACTCACATGGGTGGTCGTACCCGGGTCCTCCACCGGGTAGGCGCAAGTGTCCGTCCAGGTGCAGGTGTAACGTATTTCGTTGAAGGGGACTTTTCTCTCAATTAAATGTTCCCTTGGAGAAGGCTAAAACAAGAGTGAGTTTATTCAGCTATCGTGCGATCAGAACAAAGTACAAACAGAACAAATAAATATCGCAACTGCTTACAAAGCATATGTGCAGTTGGCGACCACAGTTCTTTGCCCTCATGTTACGTTGATACTTGATTTGTTTGTTTTATCAAATATGCATCGCAGCACTCGGGTAATGACCGATTTGGGGAATATACTACACAGGTACATTAACTTATCTGTATGCATGGTTTAAGTACTACTACTACCAAACTCATATTTTTCTAATATGATGATTTCGCTGAAGGTTTATGAAGGTTAATGATATCTATGAGGTGTGTGCTGTGATTGCATTATATATAGGGGCTTAATACGGATGTCACGTCACGGTGAAAAGTTGTCACTTGTCATCACGGTGAAGTGATTCCCATTTGATTTGTATATAGTAACGGTAATCACGGCTCTTATTCTGAGTATCACTTGCTTATCACCGTGTAGTGACACCCGTAATAAAGCCCATAGTTTTTGAAGGACATGGGATGTCACTCAAGTGTAGGATTGGAGTTTATATGTAATCATGGTAGCATATCCCTTACCATGGAATCAAGCAAACCATTGTGGGAGGCTGTCATGCTTGAAGAGCAACGAAGTATTGACAGGAGGGAAAAGTGTTTTAAAATAAGATGGTGGAAATGAGTCTGAAAGTTATACATATGCGTGCACGCAGCTCATGTCCAACTTACGGTTCTCCTCGTCAGATTCCTCGGGATTTCACTCGCCAGGGTTGTTTCCTACCGGTTCGATCCCCCATTAATATGGGGTCCTCCACTGATAATTTCTTTGTCTTCCTGATCCGTTGCTGGCTGTTCTGATTTAGTACTCGATTCGTACATGAAATGTGAGCGGGTAAATAGGACAATTTTAGTGTTAAGCCTTATGCGTTGTGCCAATCGTGCGGGTCCTTGTGCTGTGCACTTCGCACTACCATGACCGGCCACAATACCATGACCTCCACAACATCTTGGCAAAGTGAATCCCGCACAACAAGCATTCTTGATTGTTCAGTTCGGCGCACAATGGATACGCCGTATCTGCGGAAACCTGACCGACAGCTCCGGCGTTAGATGTGGTCAACTCAACGAAATTATAGGAAAAGCAAAACTCAAAAGCGTAAACCTATCACCCCTAGCCCATCTGAACCATTTCAAAATAAGAATCAATAAACCATATTATGCTTCCCCTAAGCGGTCCCTCTGCGTCCTACATCTCTCCAGCCTTAAAACTGTTACAAAGAATAGAATCCCAATAATACATACTAACTTTGGTTAGAATATAGAGGCCAACATTAGAGCCATTTCCCCTACATATAGGGTTACCATATGGTATCCTAATGGAGGACATGTCCTCCTTTTTCAATAATTTTTCTACATCCTCCTTTTTAATCCTTGGATTTTTTCCAGTAACATATCCATAACATTATTTTCAAAGAGTGTTGTTTTGAGAGCTTTTTTTTTCCTTTGGTTTGTTTTTTCCGTCGATCTTGTTTTCCGTGCTGAGCACCAATGCTACCGAAGGCAGCTCCCACACCTGGACCCTACCTATCGACCCATCAACTCATGAACCGGGGACCAACGGCTTTACTTCCCATCCGAAGGAAGGCGTGATCAGAGATGTTATGCCTCAGAACATCCCGGCGGCGCCGACTGGGATTGAACCCAGGCCTGCTGGAGTGAGAGGTAATCACGCTTACCACTACACTACCGGCGCCGTTATTTTGAGAGCTTATTTGTTCAATTATGTCACAACCTCATCTTATCTAGCAAATGCCGTTCGATGGTGGGACTAGGAGTATACTACAGCTGTACCCCCCCATCAT